TTCATCTGGGTCTGTTGTAATGTTCCCTCTTTCATCCCTTATTCTTGCTATTGAGATTTGTTCCCTCCTTTCTTTGGTTAAATTTGCAAGTGGTTTGTCGATTCTGTTTATCCTGCAAAACGTTTTTTATATGTTCACTATAGTTCGCTCTCTCCTTCTTTAACAATTCAAGCTATATTTTTTAAAATGAAGGGATGTTTATTTTATAATACTTGTTCCAAAAACCAAACTCAATGCCATGAAGCCAATTCTGACTCATAACCCCACAGGGCAGGCTAGAACTGCTCCTGTGGGTTTCTGAGACTGCCTTATAAGGTTTTCAGAGTGTAATCTGTATGGGAGTACATTGTCAGGTCAGTAGGTGGGTTTGCACTGCTAACCTTTTTGTTAGCAGCTGAATGCTTAACTATTGCTCTACAAGGTCTATTCATTTAACAGCCAGACCACTAAAATATATATAATATTAAATGTTGTTATTTAAAATGAACTCTTCATAGCCTAGAAAATTCCATTTTCTCAGAGGTAGGAGTAACTATCTGAATAGACAAGTTCATTCTATAGATATTTTTTTTCCTGTATGTGAGGGGATTTCAAAAAGTTCGTGGAAAAATAGAATTAAACTATAATGGAAATGCTTAGAATGTAGCAGTTAACAGGCTTAGTAAGTAATCTTTATTCTAGTACAAAATGATTTCATTAAAGGTATTAAAAATGTGACTTCATTTTAAGTGGACTATTCAAAATCTAGTAGGAATCTCATTACTTAGAAAATTGTTTTAATTTCAATGCCTTTTCTTGTAATGCGGTTTAAAAAATTCTCTTACAGATCAGGAGACTGATTTTGGATGGATCTTCACAGTTAGTCCAAGAAGGTCTCAAAAGTGGTTTTCTTTATCCACTTTCTACAAAACAGGCAAAGTGTAGTGAGCATGTTAATTTGCCACTCGATACGTGCAAGTTATCAGAATTATGTGAAATGGCAAAGCATCTGTCTTCTATGAACGAAATGAAACTTCAGACACTACAGTTGATGGACGACGATATGTCTGTTAATGAGCAGGATTTATTTTCACGGATTGTTGAAAACAACTCTAGCTTCACAAAAGTGATTACTTTAATGGGACAAAAATACTTGCTGCCACCAAAAAGTGGTTTTCTTTTGTCTGACATTTCTTGTATACAACCACTTCTGAATTGTAGGTAATTATTTTGTTTATTATGAGAAAGAGATAATTTTTCTGTAGTCTCAAAAGTCCTAGTCTGAATTTTGAATAAAGGGTCTATACTTTATGAGGAAAAGTTAAACCCATTTTCTAGCTTCATTTTTCTTTGAAATTTTAGTGTTAACTTTTGTTTTTTTATTTTTTTAATTCTAAACTCTTATTTTGAACGAGGGCTCCCCGAGTATCTAGTTCCCAGAGAGAGCAACTGTAGGTATTGCTCTGTAGGTAGGAATTCATGATGCAATGTTTGGCTACATTGTTTACAGCAAAGTTGAATACAAGTCAAACATGAATATTAATCCCCAGATCAGCCCAAGATTTTAGCTGATCTTCAAGTATATTGTTGAAAATTTCTTAACATGTTTGCCCGCACAAAGTTAAAGAAATTAAATATTGCAGTCTGTAGTCACACAGACTTGGTTTGCATTTAGTCTCCAGCTTCTTCGTGCCTTCTACTAACCACAAACACTGTGGCCCTTTACTTCTCAAAACTGACCCTCGCTTTCCTTATTTGTAAATCAGTATCACCACTTTGAGGATTGCATGAAATCATTTGTATTTAGATCTCAGATCAGTGATTTATAAGTATTACAATATCCTTAGGGATGATGTGGGTAAGAAATGTATTGATCAAGTTGAATGTAATTTGCTGTGTATTTGTATTTTGACCTTTTAAAACAAAAATCTAAGCTGTTAAGCAGCTACAACAGCACTTACTAATGAAGGACATCATTTAATTGCTGTCAAGCCATCTTCCTCATGGGTGGATCTCCATGTAACAGTGTCAGAAAATCATTAGAGGCAAATAAATGACAGAATAACAAATTAATGAGAATATCATGCCATATGTTTAAACATTTTCTTCAGTTCTCTTTGATCTTTGTTACTAGTAATGTTTGAAAATCTCATTTTAATTGCATTCTTTGATAATTTGTGAGATTGCACAATGATGAACATAGATTTATGTTTATAAAAGACAAAAAAGGGACAGCTCTTTCTTACAGTAAAATTCCAGTGAGTAAATGTGGATGGAATGATGGATGTAGAAAATTTCCGCTTGGCCAGAAGCATAGTAATAATTATTACAGGAAGGTATCTATCCTCAGTTGGTGTCAAAATAGTTGGTGAAAAAATAAGACACTAATCTACTCTGAAATTATTTCCCCACAAGATGCTTTTTAGTGATAGTGAGAAAATAGCAAATTTACACTGGGGAAATGTGGCATAGAACAGTTTAACCAAAGTGACCAAAAATGTAATATAAAAATGAGATATAGAGTTGGTCCTTCATATCTGCAGTTCTATATCTATGGAGTCATCCAACAACAGATTGACAATATTTGGGGAAAAAATAAAAGTAAATAAATGATCTAAAGAAATCTTTTAAAGACCAAGAGAAAGAGTAGAGTGCTATTTATGTAGGGTTGCTATGAGTCAGCATTGACTCAATGGCAGTGAGTTTAGCTTTTTTTTTTTTTGACATTATATTAGGTATTATAAGTAACTTAGAGATCATACACAGGATATTCATACTTATATGCAAATATGATATTTTATGTAAGAAGCATGAGTATCTGTGGATTTTGGTATCTGAGGGGTCCTAGTGTTAGTGGGTTAAGCCATTGGCTGCTAACTGCAAGGTCAATTGTTCAAATCCATTAGCTTCTCTGTGAAAGAAAGATGAAACTTTCTGCTTCTATAAAGATTTGGAGCATCAGGAACCTCTTTTGTCCTATAGAGTCATTATAATTTGAAATTAAAATTGAAATTTGAAAATGATGCCATGGTAGTGAGTTTTAGTGGTTTGGGGTCAATACCTGTGTCTGTACCAAGGTGGGGGGGTGACTGTATTGGCATCATGTGCCTTATGATTTGATGTTCTCATCAGGCACACATTAGTTCTGTGGAACTGTTGCCAAAATCGACCAATCTAAATTTGATCATGAGGAAACTTCAAACTCCAATTGAGGGACAGTCTATAAAATAACTGGTCAATAACCTTCAAAAGTGTCAAGGTCATAGAAGCCAAAGAAAAACTAGGGAACGTTCCCATATTAGAAGAGATTGAGGAGGCATGGCACTTAAATGCAATACATGATTCTGCTTTAAATCTTGAACCATAAAAAGGCGCATTCGTGGATAATTGGGAATGTTTACTGTGGTTGGCATATCAACTAATATTTATCATTTTAAATATTTTTGGTTTTTCTTAGTCATGATATGCTTATTTAAGAGGTTAACCTTTGGGAAAAATAAGTAAAAGTTATATGGCAATTCTGTATTTTTAGAACATTTTTATAGGACTGAAATTACTGTATATACTCGAGTATAAGCCAACCCGTTATCAGCTGAGGCACTTAATTTTACCACAAAAACTGCATTGAAAATGTGCTGAAAAACTCGGCTTACACACATGTACATACGGTATTTTATAGTAGAAAGTTCAGAAAGGGTAAAGTAAAAAAGGATTTAGGTCTGAAAGGGCCATCCAGTGGTGATGCATGTGAAATCATAAGACCACACATGACTGCTGAGACTTACAGAGATTTTATCAGTCATTTTTGTCAAACTTAGTGAGCTTTAGTCATCTTCAAGTATTATCTTCAAAAAAAGCAGTAAGTTAAAGTATGTTAAATTCCTGACGGTAATAAATGATGAGAGATATCTAATTTACTAGATAAATTATGTTTCATTCTCTTATTTTTGTGTATGTAGTGAAAGCATTTACGTTTTGAAGAGCATGTTTCATTTTAAAAGTGATCGTATATAGAGGAAGATGTTTTCTAGAATTGTGTTTTTGTTTTCAGGCAGGAAAAAATATGATGTAATTGTAATAGATCCACCTTGGGAGAACAAATCAGTGAAAAGAAGTAACAGGTAAGTGAAAATATATATTAGGTATTTAAGGGATTGGCCCTCTAAATATTATGTCGTGTCCTCATTTGTCTCCATAATAATTTTTTTAAAGTATATTTGCCTGATATTAGAATAGCCTGTCCATCTTTCTTGTGGTTTGTAGCCCACTATGCCACCAGGGTGTCACTCCAGCACGCTTGTGATTTATGTTGATGGGCTTTATCTTGCCCCATTCTCTTACTTTTAACCCAATGTGTGTTTGAATAGAAAGTTTAATCTCTTAAAAACAGTATTTAGTTGGATCTTTTTTAAAAAAATCTGTTTGGTCGATCTTTTTCCATTGGGGCATTTAAAGCATATACATTTATTGTAATCATTGTTAGGTGCTGTCCAGTCAGTTCTGACTCATAGCAGCCCGCTATGTGTACTAGAACAACACACTGCCTGATCCTATGGCTAGCATCCTCACAATCTTCGTGTCGTTTGAGCCCGTTGTTGCAGCCACTGTGCCAATCCTGCCTGTCGAGGGCCTTCATCTTTCTGCTGCCCTTCTGCTTTACCACACATGATGCCCTTTTCCAGGGACCTGTCTTGTCCCAAAATGCGTGAGACAAAGTTTCGCTATTCTTTCTTTTTTTTTTTTTTTAAGTTAATTTTCTTTTTTTTTTTTTTAACATTTTATTAGGGGCTCATACAACTGTTATCGCAATCCATACACACATCAATTGTGTAAAGCACATTTGTACATCATTCTCAAAACATTTTCTCTCCACTTAAACCCCCGATATTAGGTCCTCATTTTTCCCCTCCCTCCCAGTTTCTCTATTCTTGCCTCTAAGGAGTATTCTAGCTTTGCTTATTCCAAGACAGCTGTTTGTTCTTTTGTCAGTCAATGTTACTCTGGATATTCTTCGCCAGCACCGTAATTCAAACACAGCAGTTTTTCTTGACTTTATTCAGTGTCTAACTTTTACATGAATATGAGGTGAATGAAAATACCATGACTTTAGTCCTCAAAGTAATCGCATCATTGCTTTTCAGTCCTTTAAAGAGGTCCTGTGTAGCAGATTTACCCATTGCAATGCATCATTTGATCTCTTTAACTACTGCTTCAATGAGTATTGATTGTGGATCTGAACAAGGCAAAATCCATGACAACTTCAATCTTTTTTCTACTTATCATGATGTTACCCATTGATTCAGCTGTGACTATTTTGGTTTTCTTTACATTGTTTTGTAATTCATACTGAAGACTGCAATCCTTGATTTTCATCAGCAAGCGCTCCTTCAAGTCTTCCTCACTTTCAGCAAGCAAAATTGTTATTTGCATATTTCAGGTTGTTAAAAAACCTTCCTCCAATCCTGATATTCTTTTCATCATATAATCCACTTTCTCAGATGAATTGCTCAGCATATAGACTAAGTATTGTGAGAAGATACAACACTGACACACACCTTTCTTGATTTTAATCCTTGCAGTATCCTTGTTCTGTCCACACAACTGCCTCTTGTTCCTTGTACAGGTTCTGCATGAGCACAATGTAGTGTTCTGGAATTCCCATTCTTCTCAAATGATCCACAGTTTGTTATTGTTCACACAGTTGAATGCCTCTACATTGTCAATAAAAACAAGTAAACTTTTTGTATTCTATGCTTTGAGCTATGATCTATCTCTTGTCAATAACAATATACCATGTTCCTCGTCCATTTCTGAATTCAGGCTGAATTTCTGGTAGCTGCTTGTAAATGTACTGTTGCAACTGTTGTTGAATGATCTTCAGCAAACTTTTAATTTTATGTTAATATTATATTAACGATATTATTCTATAGTTTGAGTATTCTGTTGATTACCTTTCTTTGGAATCGTTACAAATACAGAACTCTTCCAGTCTGTTGGCCAAGTAGCTGCTTTCCAAATTTCTTCATCAGCTTGTTGAAACATTTCAATTGGTATTGCATCAATTTCTGGACTTCTTCTTTCACTAGTGTTATTTCTTCATCATATGCTACTTTTTGAAATGGTTGAATGTCAACTCGTTCTTTTTAGTGACTCTGTGTACAAGGGGGTACCCTCAAAAAGCCCAGAATATTTTTTCAAAGCTATGTATTTAAAATTTTTAACAAAACAACCTTATTGCCTTCAAAGTACACTCCATTACATTTAATACATTTGTGAAATCTGCTATTCCATTCTTGGAAATAGTTTTCAAATTCATCTGTTTGGATGACTGACATCGCCTCCCTTATTGTTTTCTTCACCTCTTCTTTGTCATCAAATCACTCTCTTTTCATGTCCCTCCTCATTCGCAGAAACAAAAAGTTGCATGGAGGGAGGTCAGGTGAGTCAAGTGTGTGGGGCAAGAGAGACATGCTGTTTTTTGCCAAAAACTGGTGGACTGAGATGGCTGTGTGAGCAGGTGCATTGTCGGGGTGGCAAAATCAGTCCCCCGTCTGCCACAGATCAGGCCTTTTTTGTCGCATCCTGTTAAGCAGTCTTTTGAGAACCTCTAACTAGAAAGCTTGATTAACAGTCTGACCTGGTGGAATGAACTCCAAATGCACTATCCTCCTCACATTAAAACAACTAATGAGCATCGTCTTGATCTTTGATTTCACTTGACCTGCTCTTTTTGGGCCAGGTGATGATGGCGTCTTCCACTGGCTTGATTGATGTTTGCTTTCTGGGTTGTAAGAATAGCACCATGTCTCCTCAACAGTAATTACCTTGGAAAAAGTCTGGGTGGCTTCTGAGCTGTTCTTTGAAAGCACAGCATGTTTCCAGTCTACGCTCTTTTCCCTGGTCAGACAGATCCCAAGGCACATATTTTGCAGCCACATTTCTCATTCCCAAATCTTGCATTAAAATTCACTGAACTGAGCTCCACGGTAGCCCAAATAACTTCCCCATCTCTTCAGCGGTCTGTAGTCGGTCTTCAATCACAAGTGCACAAATTTTGCACATTTTTGTCCATTTGAGAGGTTGATGGATGGCCAGAACAAGGTTTGTCATCGATGGACATTTTACCTTTTTTTGAAACGAGAAACCACTTATACACTTAAGTTTTTTCCATAGTGTTGTCCTTATAAGCTGTGCTCAATACCACAACAGTTTATGTGTCCTTTTTCCCTGAGCAGGAAACAAAATTTCATGGACGCATGGCCATTCTCTTAAATTGGCCATCACAAAAACCGAGGTTGAAGCAAAACTGCTTTTACTAAAAAGTTAAGTGTGACCAGGAGATGCCACTGGGCGCACTAACTCAGAGCAAGTTGCTGGATGCTTTCTAGGAAAGCGCCACTCTGCCCAGCCGAGGAGTTTCTTTCCCTGTTTTTAAAATAGTCCCTCGCATTCTTTCTCATTTCGTTTGCTGCTGCTTGCCTTGTGTAATATTTTGCTCTTAACTATTGCAATTCAAAGCGTGAATTTTTTTTTCTTTAGTTGTTTCAGATTAATGAGCATGCTCCTCCTTTTTAGTTTTAAAACTCTGGGTCTTTACACATATCATCACGACACTTTTGTCTTCTTGAGCTGTCCTTTGAAATTTTTTGCCGTAGCTACTCCATGACTAAGAGCAAATTTCAGTCTCTTCTGATGTCTGCTTTGATCTTTTCTTTCTTGTCTTCTTAATAGCTGAGATAGTTTATTGTGCCAGCCTGGCCAATAAACACAAGTGGGATTAACTGAAGGGCAGAGAGATAAATGCCTTCGTGAGTCTCGCCTTTCTTGTCTCTCTCGCTCTTTGATCATCAGACTAGTGTGCGGCTGCCTTGCTTCTCCTGTGCCTCAATTTAAAGGCTACACCACCTGTGGGACGCCTAGCCTGTGGACTGTGTCGCTGTAAGTTGAAGTCCCTTTAAGACATAGCTGGAGCTGGGGACTGGCAGTTGGTGACCTGCCTTCTGATTGGCTGCTGTGCTGACATAGCCTAGCTCCTTCTATAAATAGAGGAAGAGCTGGCAGCAGATTGGACTGGAAGGACTGCTAGTCTCTCACAACTCTCTCACGGCAGTGAGTTTCACTGAGCCATTTGTAGTGCTTTATAATTTAACTTTCTTTCTTGTATTATATATTTATCTGTATATGATTTAACAGTTCATTTCTTGTTATATATCTAATTATCTTTATAAATAAATATATTAAATTATCAGCAATTTGGTTCTATCTCTCTAGAGAACCCTGTCTAACACAATAGCCTTTAGCTTTCTTCATGTACCATGTTCTTGATGCCATTCCCCAGTTCATCAAGTCTTCCATTATTAGTGTTCATTGTGTCAAATCTGTTCTTGAAATGCTCCTAAAATTCAGGGAAATTCAGGTGGGTTGAACTCAAGGTCATATTTTGGCTCTTATGGACTTGTTTCAATTTTCTTCAGCTCCAACCTGCATTTATATATGCACATTTGATACTTCATTCCACAGTTTGCCCCTGGCCTGATTTTAACTGCCAATATTGAGCTTCTCCATGGTCTCTTCTCATAGATATAGTCAATTGATTTCTATGTACCATATATACTCGAGTTTAAGCTGACCCAAATCTCAGCTGAGGCACCTAATTTTACCACAAAAACTGCATTAAAAATGTACTGAAAACCTCAGCTAATGCACAAGTATTACTTCGGAAGATCTCTCTGTGTTTAGTGCCTTTTTTTTTGTTTAAGAAAGGTATTTTCCCTGCAGAAGTCAGTGTTCTTGCAAAATTCTGTCATGCAATCTCTAGCTTCATTTCTATCAAGACCCCATTTTCCAAATATTGCTTCTTCCTCTTTGTTTACAACCTTTGCATTCTAATCACCAATAATTATTAGTATATCATGATTTCATGTTTGAATTGATAATTTAAAAATTTCTTCATCACTAGTTTTAATGGTTGGTGCATAAATTTTTACAATAAATAATTTCCTTGAATGTATATATATATAGTTTTTTCCCAAGCTGACTTTTATTTTCCACATTATTGCACACATTTCTTTGACAGTGCAGTTTTTAAAAAAAATCATTTATTGGGGGCTCGTGCAACTCT